TTTGGGGTTTAGGGGTGTAGGGTTCTAAGGTTTGGGCTTAGGGCTTAGGGTTCTAGGGTTTGGGGTTCAGGGTTTAAGGCTTCACGGTTTAGGGTATTACGGGTTAGGGGTTTAGTTTAAGCTCTTTTGGAAAACGGCTTCATACTGTTTAAGGCCACCAACCCTAAGCCCTGAATCCTATGGGACCCCTGTGGAATCCTTCTAGAAGCCCAAAAAAAACCCTTTTAAGGAGCCCTTTGTTTTAATGTAAGGGTCTCAGGGAGCAACCCAAGACCTGGCCAAAGCCACATGGAAACGGACGGTAAAATTCTAAACCCCACAACGTCTTTCTCCAAATCAACCCCCACGTCCTTTGGGGTTTAGGGTTTAGGGATTGCCCTAAACAAAACCCACAAACCCCTTCCACCCCAAAAGCCTCACCCCTAACTTGAAGCCTTCCAACAAGGGGTCTAAACCCTAAACCCTAAACTACCCTAGACCCTGAACCCTAAACCCTAAACTACCCTAGACCCTGAACCAGTGGGGACAAAAACCCCGGGCCTTGTTGGCCGTAGAGCTGCGCAAAGGTCGCGAGGCCTGAGGGAGCGCAGGGGCCCGGGGCTTCCCGGATGTTGCTGTTAGGGTTTGGGGTTTAGGGCATTTAGGGGGTTTAGGGGGGGGTTTAGGGGGGGGGGTTAGGGGGTTTAGGGGTTTAGGGGGTTTAGGGGGTTTAGGGCTTTAGGGTAGATGTTGTTTGTCTTTGGGGGATAGGACCCTTGCTGTTCGGGTTTGTGGTTTGGGGTAGATGTTGTTTGTCTTCGGGGGAAAGGACCCTTTGATGAGTGTCTAGGTCTGATGTTTAGGGCTAGCGCGTGGCATGTGTCAGAAAGTCTCACTTGCGATCATCATTGCGCAACTTCAACGGAGGCCCGGAATCGACACCCAAACATCCGAACCAAACTACTGCATGTGAGCTGACCACCAAACTGTGAGAAGCAGGGCCTGATAACCCATTCTCTGGGAAGCATCCTTGAGACCGCCCCAGACCCCCAAACCCTAAGACCATGAACCCTAAACCCTAAACCAAGAACCCTAAACCCTGAACCCTAAACCCTAAACCCCTAAACCCCTAAACCCCCAAACCCTAAACCCAAACAGGTCGAGCGTTTCGGGGGTTTCGGGTTGAGGATGGTTTGGGTCCACTACTTACTTGGAGGTTCCTGCGACTCAGCAGCTGAAAGGGCTCCTTATAGAGGGATCTTTTAAGGGTTTCTATCGGGTTTGGATAAGGATAAGGGTACTATAGGGTTTAGGGTTTAGGGTTCAGGGCTCTATCGGGTTTCGATAAGGATAAGCAGTTGGAGTCTCATGGGACTTAGCAAGGACAGCTATAAGTACTGAGGCTATAACTACTTAGAAGTATGGTTACCTTATTTATAAGTCTAGTTTCTAAGTCCGATGAACATGTAAGTAAGCATACGGGATGACAGGCTCATACAGGCTTCCAGAAAGCTATCACGGCCAACCTTGCCATGCCTGCATCCAATGAGGTCACGCCGGGCAGCACACTGCCAACCCCCTGCGGCCCGTGGAATGTCCCTAAACCCTAAACCTTAAACCCTAAACCTTAAACCCTAAAGCCCTAAACTTAAACCTTAAACCCTAAACCCACACCTTAAACCCTAAACCCTACCTTGAACCCTAAACCGCGAAGCCTAAACCGAGCCTGACGGTTGGGGAACAGGCTCCGGGACTCTGCTTGAAAGATTGCAAACGTTTGGAAACGAGCTAACCCTAAGGCTCAGTATACCAAATGTACCTAGTTACAAGATGTTACAAGGACCCAGTTTGGAGCGGGATATATGGAGATAGGCTTTCAGATTCTGCGCAAGTTCCCCCAGAAGCCCCTGAACTAGACCATGAGACCTGAAGCTTGCAGCTGGGTTTAAGTTTAGGTTTGGAGTTTGGAGGTTAGTGTTACAGTGCCGCAGGATTCTGGCATCAGGCGTGCGAAATCGTTTTTAAGGTTTTGGCTTGATGCTTAAGGCTGGGAGGGCCTTTGGTTTGAAGCGTCTTTTTTATCATGCAACTTGAGGCTTCTTAGGGTTTAGGGTTGAGGGTTGTGAGGTTTAGGGCCTAACGTTTGAGGTGTCAGGCTTCTCCAAACCCGAAGCCCTCATGAATCATGCCGAACTGCACCTCACAGCGCAGCCCCTCGTGCACGGTGTCATAGCGGACGACACGCAGGATTCGGAACCTCGGGACGGGAAGAGGATAGGTTATGTCAAGGGTTCAGGGTCAAGGCCAAGGCTATTCGTGGCACACCTGCTGGTTTAGGGTGTATAGGGTTTAGGACTTGCTGCTAATGAAATAAATGAAGCCTTTCAATTCAAACAGGGTGCTGTAGGGCTACGGGTTTTCATAGGGCCGGGAACGGGGTAATTAGCGGCAGCGTCGAGCTCATAAGCACACTGCGCAGAGAGTCTTACTTAGATAAATGCCCCAGACCCCAGACCCTTTACGCCTCACTACTGACATCAAACCAGACTAGCCAGTAACGTTACAGCGGTGATCAGCTTGAGTTCAACACACTCATCTTCACTCTGTTAATACACACACACACAGATATATATATATATATATAATGTATTAACCTCTATCGTCGTCACCAGTTTCATGCTCATCCTCGTTATCCTCAGCAGCAGAATCACCTTCGCCCTCACCGTCATGATGATGGCACAAATCGTCTACATCGATACATTCATCTGTGAGAGTTCAGGCTTCCGGTAAACTTGAGCTCATGAGCCTATTTGGGGGTTTCCGAAAATAGGGGACCCTAATATAGCACCATAAATGGTAGGATCCTTATTATAAGGACCCCAAAGTAAGGTACCCTAATTTTCGGAAAGTCCTATTTCGGAGCCCCCCCAGATGGCGAGATCCTTCTGTAGACATAGGCCTCAGAAGAAGAACGCACCCAAATCCAATCCCTAAACTCTAGACCTATCCCAACCTAAAGCCTCAAAGTCAGCCAAACCTAAACCCTAAAATCCCCCAAACCCAAATCCCCATCCCCGCACTTCTTCGAGCTGAGGGACACCGCCTGCTGTGGTGGCGAAGCCTTCTGGACCCTGAAGTAAGCGCCCGGCTCGACACCTAGGGCTTGTGAGCTTCGGGCTTGGAGGGTTAAGGGTTTGATTGTGGGGTTGAGGGGTTCGGGGGCCTGGGATTCTGCTATTGTCCGGTTGGGAATTTAGGGTCTCGGGCTCCCCATTTCTGCGACACCGAAAGAAAACCGCTGTCCGGAACAATCCAAGGCTTCAGCACTTCAGATAGGTGGATTCGAGAGTCGGTGCAATCGTTCAAGGTTCTTGTCATGAGCTTCGCCTGTACGCGTGTCTCTAGAAAACGTGTTGGTGCCTTTATGACTTGCAGCACATTTGAACACCCAGAACCGAAACGCTGATCATGTGCCAATAACTGCTCATTACAAACAAGCGTGTACTTCCATCTTCGAGCTCAAGGGCCTCGCGGCAAGACGACAACGGCAATGATGTGAATAGCTGAAAAATGACAAGGACACTCGCAACACTGGATCTTTTGGCAGCAGCGGTGCAAACGAAGGTCTGGACGTATGTGTCCGTCCTGATCCTACTCCGAACTGATATCTTCCGCACTTTTACCTGCCTAAGTAGCTATCTCCGATCGACCTGCCTGCTTACCCGCCTAACTGCCTACCTTTCTACCTACCTATATGTATTCAAAATGCAATCAAGATGCTCTGTGTCAGGTACGATATGCTGTGGGTTGTATGCCAAACAATATTCTGCTTTATGCATAGCCCTATACATATATAGTACCTATGCTGTATGTCTGTAAACCTAGTCTGCAAAAAAAAACACAATCGCCGGCTGGCTCTGCCACCAGACCCGAATTTCGGCAGAAGATGGCGCAAAGAGTGCTCTGGACGGGGGCTCACGAAATGAAGGCGCTGGGCCGGCGGCAGGTGTTCACAAAGATCATCCCCGGTGCAATGGCTGGAGGCCCAGTTGCTCCAGAGCCGAGGTCATAGGCCGAGACCTCGGTAGGATCCTCCAAAGAGATCTTGCCATCGTGGTTGTCGTCGCGCAGGGCATAGGTGATACCACCGGCTGACCAGTTGATGTATACTGTTCCTCAGAGCACTGTTCTGGCATTCTCCGACTGGGCCGAGTCGCCAAAGGTACAAGTACAACCACTACTCAGGAGCACTTAATACCGGACTCATCCACCGCACAGATGGCATTGCTGTGTAATAGATATTAAAATCATATGGGGGGGGGTTTCCGAAAATAGGGGGCCCTGATATAGTACCCTGAATAGTAGGATCCTTATTGTAAGGACACCAAAATAATTGGGGTACGCCTGATTTTCGGAAACTCCCATATTGCTCTCAGGCCAGCACCGTCTCCAGAAATGGTCGCGGCGGAGAAGAGATCGGGCAGGCACATCTGCTCATTAGTCGACCCAGCAGCGCCCGTGTGCAGCCATGGTGGTGGGTCGAAGGTCCAGATTGTCTCGCCTGAGGTAGGGTTTAGGGTTTAAGGTTTAGAAGTTTAGACATAGACAGGACGGTGTGGGGTGTAGAGCTTCAGGAAATCTAGGACTGTTGATATGTGGGGACCTCATACTCTGCAGTTGGCATTTGCGGTCTGAAGCGAAAAGTGTCGGCTGGCTGAAGCTTACACTTATGACAGCAATAATAGTAATAATAATAAAAATAGTAATAATAGTAATAATAGTTATAACAGTAGTACCTTTGGTTGTCAATTTGGCTCTCCAAGCGCCTGTCATAGCGTCCACAGCCATCACGGTGCCTGTGATGAAGGCAGGATCTGGTGTTGGAAAGCCGGCGGGCGTACCGATGCCTTGGCAAACGGTGCTACGCTTGACGATTGCAGGTTTATAGGCTAGACCCTAAACCCCCCATCTTATCAGCGGTATTTGCAACTGCCCAGTACTATTCCCTAAATGCAAGAAGCCCTTAACCTTAAGCCCATAATCCCCTCGCCTCCAGGGCCATATAAACTGAGCCACTACCCCAAACCGTATGAAACCTTGATGCAAAAACCCCGGAACCCTCCGTGAGGACCCAACCGCACTCAAGACTGCGTCCCAAAACTCCTACAACCACGACTTCCAAGATGCCAGCGACAACTCCGACCTTCCTCGGCTAGAACCGTGCTTATGTTACTTAGGCGGGGTTGCCAGCGAATTCCAAGACATACATGGACGTGCACGAAAGCCCGCATCTAACTTTAGCTCCATCAGCTGTATCATTGGTTTCGTTGTACGCTCTAGATTTCGGAAAGATGTCCAACTTTGGGCTTGTAATTGTAAATGTTTGGGTCGCAAACTTTCTGTAGTAATTCCATTTGGGGACGAAAAGGTGACTATCGTGCCTCGTTCCGAACCCAACACCTCCATACTGATAACATTCCCAGGATGCGAAGCACAATGGTCTGTTGAGCTTTTGTGCTGGCCAACGCAGAAGCTGACAACATACGTTTAATGAGCGTAGGGTCCTTAAACCTGGCTTTGAAGTTTCAGAGGTTGGTACCAAAAAACAAAACGGCATTTTATTGACAGCACAGCGTCAGCGAACCCCACAAGCGCCCCACCGCCGGAGCGTTGTGGATGGCTCTGGGGACATCGATCCTGGGATAGCAAGGTTGCAGTTGTAGAACAGGCAAGTCCCAGCAGTTTCAGATGTGCCCCACCACAAAGCACAATTTCGAACAAGGGGTTTGTATCAAGGACATGCTGTAGGCGTCTGAGGCGTGCGAAGGGCCATGACTGTTCTTCCTACGAATATGCGGCTAGTCCGGAACGGCTCAGAATCGCAATATCTGATGCCATAAAATGCTAAGCCCTATAGCCGAACCAGAAAGTTGGTCATCCTCATGCCGTGAAAGCCCTTAGAGTAAAGTGTATGGAACCCCCGCAGTAATCATCCTAATTCCATGTTCCAACCTGATGAGGCTCACCATGAGCTTCATGGCTACATGAAGGATTCGGTACAAGGTAGAAGGGTCTAACTGTAAGGAACCCAATCATGTGTGATACCATGCGAAGGCAAACGCATGGCAGAATTCTGCAATCGCGCATGTCGCAAGCTTGGAGATTCGTTGTGCTCAAGAGTGTCATCTTCGTAGAACGTCGCGAGACCATGCGTAGAGCGGAATCTCGTCGTCGTGGCCAAACGCGTACGCAGCGAATTTGCGCTGGGGTGAATGGTTTTCTCGTCGTCGTAAAACGACATCACTCCATCCTTGCGAACGAATCATGAAGCCCTGTGAAGATTGTGATACGGCAAACGAAACAAAGTCCACAGTCCACTCAGGCTTGCGGAGGCAAGCCAGCTGCATTTTTGGTGTCCTAGCCCATCCTGATGCAGTTGCAGCCTCGAGGTCTTTGTGTCTGCTTACCTAGACCCCGCACGCAGAGTGACCTTGGTAACGAAGTTAGCTCGCCGTGAGCTCTCTGTTGGCCTCTCGACCGGAAGCGGGGCAACAAAGTAGCGAAGAAGTACATGGTCGCTTCAGAAGTTTGCAGGGGATAGGAGGTGCGGACTTCAAGAGACCGACTATTCAAAGGCACTGACCCAAGATCTAAGAGCCCCAAACAGGCACCAAGCATGTCCCGGAGATGTCAATGTAGGGCTTGGAGCGACAGGTAGGAACGCTCTCACAGTTTGCAGTTCAAGGTTCAGGGTCATCCCCAATCCCTATAAAACCCTGACAGAGCCGGCAATGCAAACCCAGATGAAAATAAACCAGCAACGCCCAAACTGGCTTTCCCGTGGCTGCAGACAGAGCCTGAAGCCCGCCCGTCGCATTCTCCTTGCAGTTCCGATCTTGGGTTTCGGTGTGCAGGTAGCATTTAGGGTGTAGGGTTGAAGTTGGGGGCTTGAGGTAGACATGCAAATAAATGAAAATAGAAACATGTATACCCGAGGCCTTTAGGGCCTATTTCAACAGCTTCTGATATGTACAATATCAAAGCTAAATAGTAGATGGCTAAGTGGTACATTGCAAAAAAAGAAATCCAAAAAGTTTTGGGCCGACAGTGATATAGTGTTCATTATTATCGAATATCCATGTCTTTGCTTGGCCAGCTGAACGTCATCCATACTTGAGGCGTCGAATATCTGATATGATATCCCGTTGGTTGCCTTTCATGTAACCGGAAGTGGATTGTTAGCAACAACCAGCATCGATCTAATAACAAGCAAGCGGGCGGGTACAATATGTAATCTAACAGATTGATGATGGTCATTATGGTCATACATCGTATTTTTGGATACTGCTGTTGATGTTGTGTTCGTATGTGAAATATTAGTTTCATGAAGTTTTATTTATTAAGTGCTGCCCAGCTTCCATTGTTGTATCTGTTGTTTGCAATACTCGTACTTGAGGCTATATGTATTCTGTGTTTCTGTGTCTGTTGATCTTTGTCGTTCCTTTGCGTTGGTCGTGGTCGCTCCTTGGTACGAGTACACTTCCAATCTTCCAACTCGAAGGTCAACTCCGAACCCCGAGCCCGTTTACAAGCACTGTGACAAACAACAGCAACAAACGACAACATTAGCAACAACATCAGCAATTATCAAGAACAAGAACAACAACAAAACCCGCAATCGGTACATTCAGCAGTAATCATCCGCACAGTGTTCGCAATAATACTTAATAAAATCATCCGAGTAATAAGTCATACATAGATGGAAACATTAGTGAGCAATATGAACAACCGTAAACATGACCAGGCAGTGACCGTCAGGATCACAACAAACAGTGTGTTGGCATGAATGCTGATCAACATGTATCACTAGTCAGCAACAGTTATGCTACGTCCAGTTGTTTTCCTAGGCACCTGAACGTTTCCAGCCTTTTCAGCCCTACCAACAACTCTAACTCCCAGGCCCCTGCCTAGGGCCGGGGATCAACGCACCAACACCAACACCACCACCAGCACCATGAGGGGTGGGCTTCAACATTTGGTCCACTTGGGGTTTCTCGCTCGGGATTTGACCTATCATAGTTCGCGCTGAGGTGCAGAAGATTGAGACAAGGTGTCCCGCATATGGAGCTCTTTGATCTTTGCCAGCATATCCAAATCCAAACCCTTATACAGACAAGCTCAAAGTCTTGAAAAGGAAAGCTAGTTCAAGGTAATTAACACCTTCCTGCAGCATAGAAAGGCAACGCCGATGTAAAGCCTCAACGACAGCCTTCTGAGGACCATTAAAATAAAGAATAAAGACCACAAGATTCAGCGCGCTCCATGTGTGTTTTTGTCTAACACCGCAAAGTAGAATAATATTAGTAGTAATATTGATATTAATACTAATATTAATATCAATATTAATACTGATATCAATATTAATATCAATACTATATATATGTATATGTATATATATATATTAATGTTGATATTAATATCTAAATATTATGACATGATGTAATACAATAATGTGTAATATACTATAGTATCAGTATAGTGCATTGTGTATATGTACACATGAATGAATCCTTGGAGAAGCCATTGAAGACCATGCCCTCTGCGCATGCTACGCCACCTGGGCCGGGCAATTGCTTAGGTTTCCCTGAGGCTCCATGCACAGTACCTATATAGTATGTACTTAGGCCTGAAAATGCCCCTTGAAGGCCTGAGTATAAACTATACAGATACATGGAGCCTTACGGTTTGAGGTTGGGAGGGCCATCGGGTTTGGAATGGAAAACGACAACTTGCCATGGCCGGAATTTCCCCAACAAATCGAGCCTTGCGGCCTCGAGCCCCTGAGACAGAGCTGGGAACTTCAGGAAATAAGGCACCCAAGCATAGAAACCCTAAGCCCTAAACCCTAAACCCAAAGAAGTCCTCATGGCAAAAGCTCCTAAGTAAGGGATTTTCTGAATCCCCAACTCCCTTCCCACTCTAAACAGCTCCGCCCTAAACCCTAGTCCCTGAAAAAAAAAGCCAAGCCCGAAAGCAGTTCAGCCCAGGCACCCAAGGTGAAGCTACCGGGACTATTCCCAGGCACCCTCCAGATCTCCGAGCCGTCCTGGGAGAGTACTGCTGTTGATGATATAAACCCTGCATTACCTCAAGGACCCTAAACCATGGGAATTATGGCATATTCCTTATTATGGGTAATGCAGGATTTATATCATCAACCGTAGGAAACTGTATGCTTTTTTGTTTCTTTGTCCCTCTCTCTCTCTCTCTCTCTCTCTCTCCCTCTATCTGTCTATGTATATTGCACATTTCGGTGTATGTAAATTAATGGAGATATTGGGCTATCTATATCATTTTTGTTATGCACATACGGGCCACATGTGCCTGCTTCGCAGGCACTTAGCGTCTGTATTCTTGCATGCCAGTGAGTACGTAAAAAGGAGGCTTTGTTCTCTCGAAGGGTTCATGGGAAAGGCCTCAATTTGCTAATCTGCGTAACTGTCATCTATGGGTATGTAATGCTGGGACAAACTCTCTCTCTCTCTCTCTATATATATATATACATATATCGACATGATATATATATATATGTGTATATATATATATGTATACAACTGTGTGGAAATAAACAACTTAGAACTATAACGATAAATGTACATGTGTGAACATCCGTTTATTTTCCTGTGCACAGAGCTCACATATTGTACACATGATTTTATATATATATATGCATATACACACATATTTATATGTGTCTACAGACAGACAGGTCTACACAGGCACAGATCCATCAACGTTTTTTGGCGTGTCTTGATGGCATGGAAGGTTATTTCTGGCGGCTTTCGTGGCAGCCGCATATTTGTTAGGAAGGGTTCGAGCTGTTTCAAGGCATTAGGGTTAGCTTGTTGAGTGACTAGGACTAGGACCTCAACAAGTGATTGAATGTCACGTTGGCACAAGCTCTAGACTGCGATTCCTGAAGTTTCAACTACCGGGCATCGGGAAAACAGCAGAATTCAATATCAACCCCGATGCCTCAAACCTTTTTAAACTCAACCAGGACCCCCCAAGTGCCCTTTAACAGAGTCCTTATGGGCCTTAAGCATGGGTATTTCTTTGTCTAGGGCATATTAGAAGGTAGGTGGGGGTCTATGTAGAACCAGCAATACCGGCCTTCAGGCTGAGGCGATAGATGCCACCACTCGTATCACTGACGATGATGGAATCCTGAGATTAAGTGGCGACCCGGAAGGTTCAAGGGTGAAGCGTCTAGGATTTTTAAGCAAATCGAAGCATTTCGAGCAGGAGTTTGGGGCTTTCAAAATGTTCGGAGTTTGTGGGTAAGGGAATACTTGCGCTCGCCACGTTTAATAGTAATAGGGATCGCAGGAGCTACTCACATGGTCCAGTTGGCTTTGAACTCCGAAAGCTTTTGCAGAAAACAGTGTTCGTAGCAAACACTAAAAGCCCTGATGTCCGTGTAAAAAAGAACGGTCACTGCACCCGGACCCCATGAGCCATGAAAAGGCATGCGTGGCAGTAATGAAGATGTACCCCGACTGCATGGAACCCACAGTACATGGCAAGGGAACTGTTAAGGCACGGACCGAATCCCCAAACTGCATTTCGGAATCCAAACAGTGTGAACAAGCTTGTTTCGGGGCGGGTGATTGCTTTGTAGTTGTAGTAAGCAGGCATTGCAGAAGATGACGAGCCTATCCTTAGGGAGCAGGCCCAAGTCGCGTCGAGAAGGCACGGTGCCATGTTGATGGTATAGCCAAGCCCGTCAGTTTTCTCAGTCATGTTGTAGACCCACCTTGCTTCAGCTGGCATCGCACGTGGAGTTGTACGGTTCACAAGTAGCCGCAGCTGCCCCTCTATGGATGATGCATGATGCAGGAACACCGCCACATACTGTCACATACCCCTCCAAACATCCAGACCAAAAGTAACAACAACGACTACGACTACTACAGCAACAGCAAGAGCAAGAGCACAGGCCAGAGCAAGATCAACGCCAGCAGCAGCAGCAACAGCAGCAGCAGCAGCACCAGCAGCAGCAGCAGCAGCAGCACCAGCAGCAGCAGCAACGGCAACGGCAACGGCAACGGCAACGGCAACGGCAAGAGCAAGAGCCGTAGCAGCAGCAGCAACAAACACATCAACATCAACAGCAATCGCGGTAGACCCGGGCCTGACTTGTCCGTCTGCACGTTCCAGCACCGCCACCCCCCAGGATCCGCCAAAATCGTTTCGGACGTCCTCGATGACCCAGGCACTCTACCAACAAAAACCTTTAGGGTTTACCTATAGTATAGTCTCGATTGTGGTGCCTTTTTTTCACTTTGGTCTAAGCAGATTTATAATTATAACTCTATAAGGTAACCCCTAAAAGCAACTACAATGGAGACTATAGGAAGGATGTGTGAAGGGTTTTGGGCTGAAGAACTAGGGAATCCTCAAAGCCTACAAACCCCCAAGTCCCAACTACTTAACCCCAAGCTCTTGCCTACTAGGGCGGCCAAAAATATCAGAACAAAGTTTCGAACATCTAAGCTGTATGTTTGTCAAAGGAAAAAGCTATAACAAGGCAACCTATCGTCAATCTCGCTGCAACGAATCCAAAACTACCCAACTCACCCGCAAATCCAGTGCCAACGCCCTTACACTAACTCCCCCCCCTAAACCCTCAACCCTGCAAAAAAAAACATTGATGGAGACACTGGAGCTTCCGGCAAGCCTCCTTATTTATCCCCCACGGTCCTGCGGATGTTTCCCTCGCAGGCCGTTATGAAACACCGAATAGAACCCTTATGACGCAGGGGATTCAGCTAAGGCATTAGGTCTACTTACGGGCGTTGATATTTAGAGAAGGGTTTGGGCTACATCATACTACTGTTGTATCAGAGACAATGAGGGGATACCACTACTAACTAGCTCGACTGCATTAGCACAAGCTGTCTGGACAACTGAGAATCGCCCAATGGAACGACGAGGTAATCTGCTCCCGCGCTGACCGTGTAGGTGTCTCCGGGAAGGCTGTCAGTGTACTTGTGCGACCACACCTAGGGCTTACCCATAGGCCCCTATCCTTTTTAAGATTCCCTTATAGGATTCTAAATATAAACCATAAAAAGGAACTACTTAATTAATCCACAGGCCTGACGTAGGCCAACGAGGTTTAGGGTTTAGGGTTGCAGGCCGGCGACGCGGAAACCTTCCTGAAGCGACTTAGGCTGCGAGAAGGACACCTTATCAAGCTCTGTATGAAAACAAGCATCCAAAGAACAACTCCTTGTCCCTAAAATCCCTGACTTACACACTAGGAGCTCTTAACCTTGAACCCTCTTAACCTTGAGCCCTACACCCGAACCACTGAAGCTAACCCCATGTTCTCCTAGCTAAATTTGCTGAGCTCGTGCCTGCCCTGAAGTGTGGCTGTGATTTCTCAGGTTTCGCTATAGAGTCACAATACGGCGTACTCATAGGGCTTAGGGGTTTTCGATGGTTTTCGGGTTGAGGATAGGATCTTCGAGGAATTAAGTTTCCCAAGACTTTGCAGGTTTATTCGGTTCCAATGGATATGCATCTGCTTTGATGCGCAGCCGAGATTTTACATGACAACCGCGCCTTCTCGCCTGTTTCCATGTTCAGTGCAAAAACCTCGCCGCTGTGACAGGTGGTGTAGAGGATGCCATCATAGAGCACGGGGTTCTGGCAATGAGTTGTGTTCGGCCACACTTCCCACCGCTTGAGGCCCTCCTTTGTGAACGAGAGGACTGTTCCCGAATCGCTGCCACTGTACACGTTGAGATTGTCATCAATACCTTACGTCCCCAGGGGCCCAGCAAAGTTCGAATCACTCAGTTTCCTTACTGAGACCGGGAAGCTCAGAGCGAAAACGAACCGAAATCCTGTGCCACATTATCCCTACATGCCCTAATCTGAACCAGACGCTTAACCTCATCGACGCTTAACCTTATCAACCCGAAACCCTGAAACCCAAACCCTAAACCCCTAAACCCCTAAACCCCTAAACCTTAAACCCCGAAACCCTGAAACCTCAAGCCTATACGGCCTGAACCCTAAAACGCCACACCCGATTCGGATTCCGTATGAGCAGCCAAGGTGCATGGCGTTTGGTGGAAGTTTAGGCCAGGCACTTCATACTGCCTGGGCCCCTTCTGTTAAAGGCGCAGGGAAGACATTTGGGTAGTTCTCCAAATTAGGGTCCCTTTTTAGGTCCCCAATATAGTACTGTACGGCACCCTTATAAAAAGGACCCTCAAAGGGACCCTAGTTTAGAGAACTACCCATTTTAGGGTTTAGGGTTTAACACGTTCTGGGTTCTCCCGTAGCTCCTTAATATTCAGGGTGCCATCTTTGCTACTGTTTGGTGCTTAGTAAGGGAACCCGAAAAGAAAAAGTTACTACTGGGGAATCTAGTTCTATAAGAGAGAGGGAGAAAAAGGCAGGATTTCAGTGCTCGGGGTTTAGGGATTAGGAAACCCCAACCAATGGACCAAGAAAGGAACTAGATCTCTCCCAACCCTTCAGAATATATTATACTATAGCAACATTATACTGTATTTCAAAACATTCCATTGCATTATATCATACTATACTATACTATAGTAGATTATACTATTACTCCTTACCAAAAATAAAAAAGGTATCCTGCCACTGTGCAAGGTGCCACTTGGGTGCCCCTAGCGGAAAGGGCGCAAATGCCGGTGACCAGCCGGATCTATTATCCTGTTCTGCTTCAGGGTGTACGGTCCACTGTTTCTGCGGCTGCTTATTTTGTCCGGGGAAGTAGGGCTTTTTGGTTCAGGAGTTAAAACGGGGAAAATCCAAATCTCTTGCTATTCTGGCCATTGCTCAACCTAAAAACCTGAGGCCCTTCGCCAGTCGTTAACCACCAAATCACGACTTCAGAATGGCCCAAACAAAGCATGTGAGTCCTACAAGCCCTACAACCTAAACCATAAACCCTAGACCCTAAAGCTCAAAAGACGCATAACCCATGAAGGCGTCGTTGACCCCACGGCTGGGGTACCAGTAGGCCGACTCCAGTCTGTCGAGCGTGTGCTTCCTTTGCCTAGGAGAGACAGGGTAGGGTTTAGGGTTTAGGGTCTAGCTTAGAGACTAAAGCACAAAGGAAACTCAGCAGCCCTACAGTCAAGGTAGAGCTTGAAATCTCCTCGGTTAAATGCAACCCCAGTATGCTGGATAAGCTTAACAAACAAATTGAAACCTAACTTGCGAGACTTGGAGGGATCCGCACGTTTGAAAGGTTGCAAAGGTTTCCACGGCTGCGTTCACAGGTCTATACAAAACGTAATATAGGGAGCATTCGCACAAACTTGCAATTTTGGTGTTGGTGTAGGCTTATATCAGAGTAGGGAGCCCTATGTAACCTATGTAAGGAATAGCCTTACCAATTCTTCAGGCTTCAATATTTTTGCATACTTCCACTTGGGGACTTCCGACTGACTGTAGATTCGAGGATCTGAAGACTTCATCTCAACCCCACAAAGCATGCCAGGCACACAATGGCGGTCCATGAGCCCATCTGGTATGTACTTTGGCGCGAAAGTTCTATACTTTAAGGTCAAACGTATATGCTGCATGGGCACATGGACTCTTGGCTAAGTCAACCCCAACTCCGCCAACCGCACGGTAGCCAGACCCAAGCATCAGCACTAAACTAAGGCCATGTACCTAAACATTCTATACTCAGGCCTTAGACTACCTATATAGGAACCCGTTTAAGGCCTAAGTAAGTAGTTATCTAAATTAGGGTCCCTTTTCAGGTCCTTGAGAAGGATGCCCACTAATTTAGAGAACTACCCATATACTGCATAGGTACATGGAGAGCTAGGGAAAAATGCTACGTATCCTGGGAGCCACCGAGGAGCATCGTGACGCTCACTTGCACCATACTGGTGGCCACATCGGCGCAGCTGTCCTGTTTGGGGTTTATAGGGTTTAGGACCCTGAACCCTAAACCGGAGTCTAACATTTAGGGTATATAGGGGTTTTGGCGGTTTGAGGCTCTATGATTTACAAGGGATTTGGGATGTATCAAGGCATTAGGGGTGTACAAGGTTATTAGGGTTTCTAACGGTTTCGGGGCTGTCAAGCTTGCAGCTTCGGGGATGGACAACTGGAAATCAGAGCTTGGGGGACTTAAGAAATGTAGGGGCCTAAACTATTGGAACGGGGTTTTAAGAGGGGTGTAGTACAGCACGCTCACAAAGCCTATGTTGTCGACGTCAGGGAACCCAAAAAAAACCAAACGTGCACCTCGTCAAGGGCCTCCAAGCAGGTGATGGCCCAAAGCGCCAGACAATACCGCAGGGCCATCTTGAAACCCTAAGCCGTCAGGGAGTCTATCACTCCCGACGGCTTAAACCCTAAACCCTAAACCCGGTTCGCTATGAAGAGCACGGCGCTTGGAGTTTCGCCGCAAAAGCTACCAGCTATTTGAGCCGGAATGCGGTGGGAGTTTTTTGGTCATAATGCTGAGCTTATAGCAACAATATGGTAGAGGCCACACCCACGATGGCAGAGGTGTGAAACCCATTGCAACAAGGAAGCTGCGTTCGAAAACAGTCGTGAAATGTCAGTACCACTCGAGAACATGGAGCAGAAGTTGGTGCTGTGACTACGACATCCGTGTCTTCGACAGTGCCAAGGGAACTGTGAACGAGAACGATTCGCACATGACTGCTGGGCGCCGAAGGGAGCATGACTGCACCCAATGTCCCTGCGTGAAGGAAACCTAAAACCCCTGAAACAAACGAAGCGCCCAAAGCCCAAGTAAACACATGCCACCGCTCCGTCTTTGGCGCCCTGATCTAAAGACTATATGCCCTGGCGCGTACGGGGTTTAGGGCTTCGAAAGTTATGTTGCACCCTCTTGCCGGGTTGCAGCAAAATCGCCGCTTAGCCAAACGCAGCTCGATCCGCTTCTCCTCGAGTTGTTCTTCACTGAGCCTTGCTGTAATTCCCTAAGGGTCCATATATACTACTATTATGGAATTAGGTCCCCAAAACCATACTATGAATGGTCTTCTGGGACCTAATTCCATAATGGTAGTATATATAAACCATAATATGAATGGCCTTTTGGGACCTAATTTCCATAATGGTTGTATATATGGACCCTCTGAATTTATTGCTTTAGTGGGTCACAGCTCCAGGGTCGAAGCCAAGAGGCGCATCCTTGGGGCTTATAGGGCTTATAGGGCTTATAGGGTTTATAGGGTTTATAGGATTTATAGGGTTTATAGGGTTTATAGGGTTTATAGGGTGTATAGGATTTATAGGGTTTATAGGGTTCATAGGGTTTAGGGTTTATAGGGTTTATAGGGATTAGGGTTTATAGGGCTTATAGGGATTAGGGTTTATAGGGTTTAGGGAGGCGAAACAAAGAGCACCTACTTTGGGGGTGGAAACGGCTGTAAGCAGTAGTGACTCCACAATAGCTTAGCAGGGTTTCTCCATGGCATCCCGGGAGGCGTAATATAGAGGCCTTAATAATTAGAATATGGTTTTGGGGTCCATAAGAAGGAACCCCCAAAACCCATCATTAAGGCCCCTACAGTATCCAAAACCAATCCCTCACCAGTACTGCGAGGCATGGACACAATCTGCAGCACCCTGCGGCGAGACTGGGCCCACCTTATCCAAACCCGAAGCCCAGTTCTTCAGTTCCGGAAACAGAAAATCCAGACCCCAAACCTCGCCCCTAAACCCGACGGCCCAAAAGCCAAGCAACCTTCAAACTTAAAGAGCTCTCCAAGACCCGAGAGCATCCCTGAATTCATATGAAGTGGAGTTTCCAATATCCCCTTTGGAGCTCTGAATACACTCACAACAATCCCGAACATAAAACCTAAAATATACAAAAGATAAGCCGCTAGACCTCGTCATAAACCCTCATAGCCCGCATAACACCTTGCTGCAACCACTGCAAGGCTTAAAGGAACCCTTCGTGGAACCCTGAATAGATAAACCCTACTTCATGCAAGCCAACCCAGCACCTAATATAGGGGCCTTAATAATTAGAATAGGGTTTGGGGGTCCATTATACTGTAACTATAACAAGGAACCCCC